CAGAGGGGGAGCCACAAAATGGGCTCTGAGCTTTCGGATGAGCCCCAGGAAGAAGCGCCTGAGCGGTGCCTGGCCACCCGGCTCTGCTCCCTACAGCCCCGACCGTGAGGAGGGTCCCGCAGGAGCTGAAAGGCACTGGGAGGGGAACCCCCGGCTCCCAGCTTGTTTTGAGGTGGGAGCTCTGACATCTCCATCCCAGGGGAGTGTTTGGGGCTCAGGAGCCAGCACAGAGGGATGCAGCGACTTCCCTCTCCATCTCATCTTCCCCGGCTGGAACGTGTGACCCGTGAGCTGCTCCCTCTTCCCCAGTGACCATCGCAGCCCCCAGCTGAAGGCTCCTCTCTCCGGCCCAAGCCCATCTGTGACTCCGCCCTATGAAAATGAGAGCGTCGCACAGGACAGATCGTTTGGAGAAGCCACTTTTAATTTGGAGACAGGCAGCTTGGAGAACCTGTTCCTGGTACCACCTGAAGTCACCTCTTCGGAGGTGTAGAGTTGTCCCCATCAATTGTCACTGCACAGGACTGCAACAGACCACCCACCATCATCCCCCAAGCTCCTGGCTGGGCTTTGCTTGTGTTTGTAAAGACAGAGCGTCTTTATTAGCAGAGCGCTCAGTATTTTATTTCCCTTTTGTAACGATTCACCTCCTTGTGGCTCCACCGCCAGTGGGAGGAGACTGCGTTTCATATTGCTAATCACACTTGATCCCTGGAATTAACTGCCGGCAATAAGCACTAAATTAATGTCACACAGCATCCTTGGCAGGGGCACTGGGACCTCTGCCGAAAGGTGCCCTGGCTCCAGCTGGGAAGGGTGAAGGCCATGCCCTCGACAAAACATTTCTAGCCGATCAGTTTTATGCTTTAAATGAAAAGCAGGCTTGGTGTTTTATGATCAACGTTTTTCAAGGACGTACTGTTTGGGTTTCAGGGCGGGTATGAATGCAACCTCACCAATTTATAAGTGAGAAGGTTGTTTTTTTCATGAGTACAAAGTACTGTTTCCTACTGTGTGATTGCCCAGGCCTTTCCCCACCAGCCCAGCTTGCTCTGCTCTGAGGGCACCTTGGATGATCCCTCCTGAGCTTTCTCTGGCAGAGGGGGGTTCCCGTAGGATTAGCATTCCCAAAGCACACCAGCACCTGGGCACGTGCTGGCCAACCTGCCTTCTGGGGGCCCCTTCTTGAAGAAGGATCCCATAGGGACCAAAAGGGGTGTTGCAGCACAGACCTCACATGGTAGGAGCTGCAAGCCAGAAGATCCCTCAGCCAAACCCACTGTAGGACGACAGAGTAGTCGCAGGACCCTATAGCCAGTTTCCCCAGTTCCTGAGCCCAGTTTTGGCACGGGTGCAGCCAGGACAGCCAAGGGAAGTGCGTGGGACATGGCTGGTGCGGCGTGGGCTATGCATTCGGGTCCGGCCTTCACTCACCAGTCTTGGTGCTTTATTTAAGGAGCTGTCACAGGGGCTGACGCCATAACAATAACCTAGTTTATTTAAAAAAAAAAAAAAAAAAACCTCTAGAAAAATGAAGTGAAGAGACATTCTATCTGGCAAGAACTCCTGTATATTTTAAATACTTCTTTTAACTGAGGAGTGGAAGCTAAGCCAAAAAACTCCGTAAAACCCTCACACAGTGACTTTTCACCAGTTTTATTTGCAGGTTGGCATATTAGAGTTCCTAGTCTTCTTGTGCTTGTGCCAGACTCCAGGGAAAAAATATCTATATAACCCCCACAAAGCTGTTTATTAGGTCTGAACAACCCAAATACAGTACAGGGGGAAAAGGCAGGAGAGGAAAATAATGACTCTGTGTCTTCAGAGACTGATTTTTATTAGGTGGCTAAAGAATCAACTCCCACCTCAAAATATTCCCTATTTCTATCCCTAGCAGTGTGGCTGGTGTTGAGCCTTAATATTCAGACGCATCTGCTACCAGAGAAAATTAATTTTCAGCTCTAGGATGGCTCTTAAAGGGAGGCCCCATTGACCTGAGTTGAAAATGATGGAGTCCTCACACTCTTTGCTGCAATATTTAATAGTTAATTAGATTACTGAGCCACTGTGACAGATGCTAGGCAACGCCTGAGGAGGAGAATTTGGAAAGGCCATTATCTTCCAGCGCTAGGAAAGCTCTCAGAGATCTCATTTTAACCCCTTCCACTCTTGCCCTGCCTTCACTGTGGTCCAACCCACGTTTAAACCAGGTGTTTCGCAAATCAAAGGCCAGCATAATACTCTGGATGGTTTTTTTTTTTTTCCATCTGAGAAAGGCAGGTGGTCACATTGGGCAAATGCCCGGCAGAGGTGCCAGGAGCTCCTCCTCGGTTCCCAGCTGGCATCAAAAGAGATGATCACCGGGAGATGCCGGTAATTTCACCCGCTGGGCAATTCCCAGGCGCACCAACCACACCAAGTGGGAAGCAGGGAAGTGAGAGGGTGTTAGAGGGTTTGGGCAGCATTCTTTCTTCCCTGTATTAAGTGAAGTGGATTTTGATGAGTGTATGGAAGAATTTCCCTCCCCACAGTCCCCACCTTCCAAATAAAACCGTAAGTGAAGCTTGTCAATCCCGCCCCCATACGCAAGGGTTTCCCAGCTCCTTCAGCTAGCTGGGAGGTAGTCTCCAACCACCAAAGCAGGGTTGTGTGTGTTGTTGGCACTGTGAAACCTGCAGTCTGAGCTAGCAGAGGTGTTACGGACTGCCTGGGAAGATGATGTTATCCAAATGTTGCCCGTATCAATATCTGCTTTCATGATGCAAAGCGAGAAGAGTTTTTGGCCTTTGCCTGGCCAGCTGCACCTCGGCACAGATTGGTGAAGACATGCAAAGCTCTGTGGAGCAAAGCTGATATCTAGAATGGCAACAAAGCATCCCACTGGGGAGAAGAGAGGAGGAACCAACAGCCCTGTCCCAGTGGCATTGCAACAGCACCTTCTCTGAGCAAGCAAGAACCGGAGCACCAGAATGAGACAGGACATCATGAGTTTCCACCAACTATCTTATTCTCACACACCCCAAAACACCGATAAACACATTCTTCTCCTGGTTACAAAACCCCTTCCCTCCCACTCAGGTCTCACACAGAAGTCTCAGAAGTTCTGATTTAACAAGCAACAGTCTGAACGTTAAATAAACACCAGGACCATCAAATGCACCGTGGCTTCCAAGCTTCTGCTTCTTCTACCCACTGAAATGTAAATACAGAACACAAAGAGAGATCCAGAATTCACCAGCATCCCAAGGGTCACTTGCCTACATGTTCATCAGCTCCAAATAAATCACCTAGATACCCACTAAAAATATCAAACTACTGAGACTGTTTCCAAAGTGCTTGTTTCCCTGGTATCTCCCAGGACTCACATGCAAGTGCTTTTAGAAACGGTACCCCCCGCAGCCACACGGGGCCAGGACGTATTCTGTGGTGATAGCCATGAGAGCAGACACGGACACATCTGCCCTCCCCTACCCACCCACCCACAGAAGGGTGACACTGGCACATCCAGCTCGCCTGGAGCGAAGGCAGAGCAGCTGTGGCCTGCTTGCAACCATCTATGTAGATGTATCTCTTAAGATACTGGGAGGATCATCTGGGAACAAGAGAAACCTGGGAGCTAGCTAAGACTTACAACATGGCAGAGCTGACTACTCTTTTCTGGCCCCGCATCCCACCTTTAAATGCTCCCTTCTCATATAACGTGAGCAACCTGGAACCCGTGGCTTCGGCGTGGTGCATGGAGATGCAACTGAGGCGAGAAACCAAGTTTCAGTTTAAAACAAGGAGACCCTTACCTTATTGACCTCCTGGATACAAGCCCCCGAGCCCTGACCCTCATCACAATGGCAAGTGCTTCCAGGTGCTGACAAAAGCTGTGGGGATGAGTGAGTAAGGCACCGTTGTGATACAGTTCCACGTGTCTGACGTAGGGTCGTAGCAGTCCAGGGTTTTGCACCTCTGAGTCCCAAAGTAACCCCCCACCACGTAGAGTTTATTCCCCGAGGCCAAAGCATGGCATGACATGCGCTTGGCTGTCATGTCCCCGATGCGCGTCCACTGGTCCGTCTCGCAGTCAAAGCGGTAGGCGGATGCTGCCGTGAACTCTGTGTCTCCCCCCATGATGAAAATCTGGCTGCCCAGGACAGCAGCTGCCGTGTAGCGCCAGGGCTGCGGGCATTCGGCTTTGATCATCCACCGATTCTCAGCTGGATCATAGCACTGGACTTTGGACACCATGTCTCGGTGAATGCTGGTCCCACCAAAGACAAAAAGCTTGAGCCTGGCGCTCACCACCGCAGCGTTGCTCACTCCATCTCTCAAAGGAGCCACCATCGTCCATTTGTTGGATATGGGGTCGTACTTCTCTACTTGCTTCAAGGAAACAGAAGGAGATGCAGGAAAGACTCCAGCTACTGCAGTGTGTCCACCAACCACATACAGGCAATTTTCCAATTCAGCCGAGCCATGCCCAAACCGAGCTATTAGCATTGGGGCAGCTTTTGACCATTCCTCATGAACAGTGTCATACATCCATACGTCTTTTGAGACCCCGTTCTCTGAGCCCCTGCCTCCAGTGATATACACTTTGCAGCCGATGGCACAGGCACTAAACTCCTTCCGTGGACTCGGCAGGTCTGCTTTGGGGATAATCTCCTTTGCTTTGTGATCCACTTGGTAGATCTTATCACACATGAAGGTCTGTCCTCCCAGGATCAGCAAGGTGTGCCCAGCTTTGCGAGGCCTGGCACAGGGACTGGTGACCACCCCATCGTTCTGGAGGATCTTCTTCTTGCACTTTATAGCTTCATCCAAGACAAGCTTGTTCCTTTCATCCACCATGATCAAGTCCTCACAAGCCAAGGCTTCCTTGAGGCATTCAGAAGGAAGCAAGGCCAGACGAACGTTCCTCAGAAGTTCTGGGAGATAAGCCTTCCGCTCATCCAGATCATATTTCACCCACTGGATGACAGCCTTAAAGACCTTTTCTTCATCCTCAATTTCCAGCTCATCACTGGAGATGAGGTCCAGCAGAGTGTCCTTGGAAAGGTTGTTGAAGTCCTCACTCTTGTGAACAGTCTCAAAGTTGACCAGGCACATCCTCCAGGAGAGCTCATAGAGCCGCCGGCACTGATGAGCATCCGAGAGCAGCATCATGCCCAGGCAGTTGGAAGGGTAGAGGTTCTTCTCCAGGAACTCAGCCGCCGCGTCTCGGACATCATGGAACTGCAGCATGTCTCCAGCCTCCAGCAGGGACTCCGCATTCTCCTCGTTGATGATGATCCGAGAGGAATAAGCAAAGTCCAACAACAGCTCCAGCACCTCTGGGTGGAGGCTGTCATGGAAGTTCACCTCATCATCCAGGCTCTCCCGGAGGCCGTTGCTAAACATGGCTTCGAAGTATCTGCTGGAGGCAGCCAGCACTGCCCGATGACATGGGAACGACCTGTTTCCTGCCCAAAGGGTGACATCGGTGAACATGCAGTGCTTCCGCAGGGTGTTCAGATGGGACAAGACGCAGTCCGGGTGGGAAGCTTTGTGAAAAAGCAAGATGTTCATGGAGCCGGTGCTAGTCCGGGATTTACGGTTCTCGTGGACGCTGACTGACATGATGACAGAGCTCTTGCCTGCAGAGAAAAAAAACCCAGAAAACCCATTATTCTCTTGTTCTTACTGACGTAAGGCACGAAGAATATATGTGATCCAACTCCGGTACACTTGAATGGACCTCAAACGTGAAACACCAGGTGACACCCCAGCGCTCCTGCTCTGTGGGTGCTCCTGCACCCTGGCTTGCAGAGCCCGTGCCTGCTGCTGCTGATGCACCCTCACGTCCTCCGAAAATTTAACTCAGGCTGAGCAGGGTGGGAAGACAGAGGCGGGTGGGGGGGGAAATTCTGTGCTATGGTTTCAGCAACAGAGCAACAAAGTGAAGCAATCAAAACCCAAACTTGATGGTAAATTGTTTCAACAGCCCCTAGAGGGTATTGGCAAACCGCAGAAGAGTTATTTTTCCTTAGAAAACAGCGTTAAGAGAGCAGTCTATCCAGGATAAAGGGCACCAGTCTGTTCTTGGCTCAGCTGAAATCCAGTTTGGCTTCTGATTTTCATGAAGATTATTGCAGGTTTAGGAAAGGCAATTGTGACTGGTTTTATTTATGGAATATTTAGCGACCAGCACACGCCAAAAGTTTTGAACAAGTTTTACCAAACCCTTTCATTGTAGTTTTTCTTGATGAAACTCACCAGACACTTCATGTGACTTAAACGTTTTTGGGCAGGACAGATTCACATCAGAGAGTAAGACAAGAGAGACAGCTAAATTATGCTTTTTAACAGACAGGCCGAAGCAAACACAAGGCTTTTATTAGCTAATATTTCATTTAAGTGCTACCTGATACCTATCCTTGCCTGTGGAAGAAAAGCCCTTTGGACCAATCAAATTAATAGTACCTAGATGATAAAATCCAAGTCATTTGCTCCAAAATATTTTAGCCAGCTCTATTTTGTCCCCCATGTAACTAAAGCAGACAGACAGATACGCGTACAGTCCTCCCTTAGAGCAGAAAGTCAGTACTGAAGTTGGTAGCACGACTGTCCTGAGGTTTGAAAAATCAGCCTGAAAAAAAAAGAAAACCAGGGTCAGCCTGCCATGCCCCCGCTACGGGCCCCTGTGACAGCAGACACGGCAAAGCCACCGCAGGCACTACGCTAGATGACATTAATTTTTCAGTAAAAGCGACTCTCCCTGGCTAAAAGTGGAGTTTGCAGGTGGGCAGCCCACTAAATGGGCTAAAGATGGGGGCAAGTCACAGAGCTCGGAGGGGTCTGAACTCTCCCGGGAGCGTTTCAGTGCTTAGGGCAGGGAGGACCCTGCTCGGGTGCAGAGGAGCATCAGGGGCTGCCGCCTTCAGCTCAGCTTCCCTGCCAACAGGGAAGCCACGAGAAATGGCTACAAGCTGGGGAAAGTGGGCCTAACTCACAGGAAAAAGGGGGTGCTTGAGAAACACTGTCTGGCTCTGCTAGTTCTTCTCTCTCACCCAACACTATTTTTCTATCCCTTTTCTACGCTCTCTTGCCCAAAACTCCGCAGTTTTGCTTTGCAGGCTGGAGAGACAGGGGCTGAAAACCCACAGCATCCTGCTCCAGCCACCTAATTGTTTAGAAATCAGTAATTAGCCACGCAGATATAGTTGGGGAAGGATTTTTGGTTGGGTTCTTTTTGTTGTTTGGTTGTTTTTTTAGCTTGCTCTTTGCAGCCCAAGGTTTCTCCAGGATCTTTCTCCCCTGCAAGCACAAGGTCTACAGATCAGCCCTGTCCTCACCACCGTCACCCCAGCACAGCACTCGGGGTCCCGGGGAAAACCACGAAACGCCGAGAGAGCGGACGCAGCGCTCCCAGGCCACCGGCCGGTCACAGCCTTGACCTGTCGGAGACGCGGAGCCACACAGCCCTCCCACGCTCCACGGGTGGGTGACCTCAAGCGGAGGCGGACGGCCAGATAAGCTGCCTGACTCACGCTCTGCTCACGCGCTTCCTACCCCCCTGCTTCTCCAGCGCCTCCAAAAGAGTCCAAATTCGACAAATAGGTGAGGGCACGTCCCTCCTTCCCCACCCGCTGCCACGAATTATCGAGTTTGGTCTTCCCGAGGCCTCACTCATTCCTCAGGGCTGTGTCGCAGTCCAGGGAAAAGATCCCTCCAGGCTTCTCTGACCAGAAACAATAGCTTGCTGAAGCAGCCACAACTCCTACTTGGCCTCCGAGCCGGGCAGGAGCATTTCCATGGGTATTCAGGTTGGATATGTGCATGCTCCTCGCCAAAATCCCTGCAGCTTGGGGTTGAGGCCGTCAAGCTCGTTTCGCTTGGGATCGGAGGCTGCGCAGAACCAAAGCTCCAAAACAGGAAGGAAAATGCCATTACGGAGCAGCGCTTTGAAGTGCATCTGAGGGAAATGGTTTCCAACATCTACACCCAGGGCAGGGACAACACTAATTCAAGAGATTATATGGATTCCCGCGTCAAAGCTCTATAACGCCGAAGTGAGGAATACAAATGAAACGTTTATGAGTCTGCTAAAAGCTATTGATTTAGGTTCCTATTCCTACAACCTCAGAAACCACCCTGCCACTGCTGCTGCTTTCTTTGCTCGCAGCGCAGGTCAGCTATTCAATGTTCATCTTTGAGTTGCTTATGCACAAAAAATTAAGCAATTTATATAGGACAGCTACGGAAACAAACAAAAAGATTGCAGGAAGGCAGCATCATTTTTTCTGACACTAAGATTAGAAAAGCCACTACTCAGAATGGAAGGAGCAGGTTATTTAGAAATTAAAAGCTCCAGCAGAGCCACTTTATATATATATATACACACACACATATGTATACACACACACATATGTATACACACACACATATGTATATATAAAAATCTCAGGCTTCTAACATCAAACATCTTGCCCAGGGCACTGGGTAACCAAATAATATTTCTATCCAACGGGTATTGAACAGCATCCAGGGAATAAGTTGGCAGGTTCCATCCAATCCCCGTTAGAACTGCTCTTCATATCACCTTGTCCCACTACAGGCACCAGCTGATCCCCAGATCAGCAGGGCCAGACAGACCATTAAACTGAAACTAAAGCAGCCTCTGAACTCTGGTGTGCAGCCATCTCACCAGCGAGGCTTGCTTGTGGTTTTCAGCAACTTCCAAACAGCTATCTAACGCTGTCTGCTGGCTACAGTATTCCCCTGGCTGTCTGCAGCCTTTGTACGGCAGGTATGGGAAAGAGAGGGTTTTTTCCAGCAGAGCAAGATAAGGGCGCTTTGGAAATCCTTCCACTCACCCACACAGGGCAGAGAGCAGCCTCCAAGGAGGGTCGGAGTTGGCTCAGGGAGAAAAGACCCCTCAAAGCTCATGAAGAAAACACCCCAGCAGTCTCTCTGGACAGGACAAAGCTGGCAAAGCGAACAAGGGGAAAAACCAAAACCACAGAGCTGGCCAAACTCCCCATCCCAACACCGGCCAAGCTTCTCCTGTCCAAGTGCCTCTGGCTTCCTACAAACCATGCCCCAGCAGAAGGCTGTCCCTCCCAGGCTGCTGGGTCGCCATGGCAGAGCCCTGCTGGTATGGGTCATCTAGGAGAACCTCAGGAAACACTCTATTACCTCTTGAAAAATCCAAGCAGCACTCAGAAATCAGATACTTTGAAGCGGTATCAGGCCCTGGTCCCCAGTCATAAAAAGAACTGCCTACGAGAGGACCGCTCAGAAGGACTATTGATACATGGACTCTATTTAGCTAGGCTTGGGGTTCCCCTCTCCATCTTAAACCACCAGGCTGTCCACAAATCTCCAATTTCATTCACTGTCTGCCGGGAATCGCCAGCTGAGATGCCGCTTCCTTTCAAGAGGACAATATTTGAGAGTGAATAAGATGGTCCCCAGTGGGACTTCAGGGGATCAAGAATAATTTCTGCTTAGAAGGGCAAAACTAAAGGATTTGTAAGTGTTCTCCCAAGACCGTGAAGGTTGGCTAAACACCAACAAAGAGCCCAAATCCCATGAACCGAAGCTGGCACTTTCTGTTTGCCAATCAGACTTTCAGAGAAGCAGCAAGCAGAACACGTTTCTTTTTGCCCCACTCAACCAAGAACTCTTTAAAGCTGTAAATAGGTAAATAAATAAGCAGTAATGTTCCCCGCTGGCTCAGCTCAGAAGACCTGGAAGGAGCTGCTCACGCCACAGCGGAGATTCATTCCCAAGCAGTCAGCCATACAGGCCCTCCACGTATGGACTGCGCTACAACCTATAGCCACTCCTTCCAAACCTGAGCAGACCCACCTCGAGCAGCCAGCGATGGCTGCTTTCGCAGGGAGGCAGGCGTAAAATTCATTTTTATTTTCTCTCCGATTTCACAATATCAATCCTTTGGGGTGAAATGCCGTCTTAATTTAGCCAAAGTTCAACTTCTCCCTGGAAGCGGTGGGATAAATTCTCTACCCATTAGTAACACTCCTGCTCCCTCGTCCCAAGTATCTGTACCTTTCCAACGCCTTCATGGACTCCAACACCTGGTGCTTAGGCCAGCAACGCCATCCCAGGACAAAATTACTGGTATAGAACAAATTTTCCCCTTTTTACTGTACAGAGTAGCAAACGAAAAAACCTAAAGTCACCTACTGTGTTGTCTTCATGGGGAAGAGCTCCCTGCAAAGCTGCTTAGGAGAAAGAACAGTCTGGCAGCACACTGTCAAATGCAGAACCCAGATACAGCTGCATTTCAGATGCAATTCCCTGGCACTGGAGACCATCAAAAGGTTTGAGAAGGGGGATCTATTACATGCAGGCATTCACGTACTCACAGACACAGCTCGAGCTTCAAAAGTGGAAAAAACCCAACAGAAAACAGCAAAAGATGGTGGGGGAGGAAGACAGAAAACAAGAAAGAGGAAGGAACAAATATAAAGATGTTTTCAGATGATTTTCGTGTCCTTGCATAACACAGTGGACTATCAAGTATACAGGTCGGAGCTGCTTGAAATGCTCGATATTAATGCTGCCCTTCTGTAAAGGGTGCTTGAGATAAAAGGAATAAAATCAGCACCTGG